GAGTCGCCAGCCGACATTGGCTGGCAGATGGAATCCGGAGAAGACCTAACCTGTGTGATCTAATCGGTCTGTGGGAGGTGATTGGCAGGAGGCGGTCTCTCAGGTACCCAGGTCCGATGCCATGAAGGGCTTTATAGGTAGCGACCAGCACCTTGAAGCGGATTATTTTTATAAGTGAAAAATTGGAATATCTATGGATGCTACTCTAGTTTCCTGATTAAATTACTGTTCCTTCTTATTATATGTAGCTGTCAACCTCCTACAAAATGCTGCAGAATTGCCATCCTTTGAATCTGCCTGGCTTCAGGAGAGCCTTCTGGAGATCCTTCTCTGGAAATCCACCATACAGCCTTCTTGGTTCTAGCACCTAGTCTTCCCAATGCTCTAACACCAGTTGTCTTTCTTGTTAAATGGCTTTTTTATTTATCCATTCTTTTGAATATGTTTCATCCATAAGATAATATATTTACTTGGCCTTCATAGTTTTTATGATTATTTGTTCTTGCAGCTGTTGAATTTTGTTTTATATTTTTTTAAATGGTTCCTGATTTTATATCCATTGCAAAATTTAATTTTAGTGAATAACATGAAGAGCGAAGCTTTCTTAGTGTATGGCTGTTGTGAAAAAGCCACATACCAAACCCACGGTTAGGGCATAAATTGGCAATTGCAATGTTGCCACATATTATACAAATCTGAGTTGGCTACATTCTTGGACTATTCCTGTTATTGCACCAGAATATTGCAGAGATGGAAAAGGGTACAACAGATTTTTCCCATGAGAAAATATTGTTTGAGCCTTCACTTTAAAAATTGAGTATGAAAGGACAGAGTACAGGTACAGGAGTATGGTAGAAAGAAAATGGATGAAGAGGACTTTTTCTTCCTATCTAATAACATTTGAACCTATGTTCCGGCAGTGAAGCTGAATGTTAGTAGAGTCATCCTAGCTATTGGGAGTTGCTTTTTTAATCTATATATATAAAAGCGAAATTCTACTCATGCATCATGATGAAATCTCCAGAACCGTAAAGCCTACAAACTTGAAATTTGGCACGTATGTTCCTCTTAGCTTCTAGGTGCTTGCTTAGAAAGGATTTTTCAAAATGACCATCAGATCATTAGTATTTCTTATATTATTATTAATACGCTCTGATGCTAAGGAGTTAGACGTTCTACTCCCCCTCCCCACCTGAAAAGAACTCTGTTCCAACTGCCACTTGGACGTGGGCATGGCCAGCGCGTGACTCATCTGGCCTGCAGGCTGGGATGAGGATCAATGGAGCCACCCAGAGGGAGGGAAGGAGACAGGATGGGGCAAGCCTCAGGGAGAGAAGGGGAGAGGAGAGCTGATCATAACTATCATTAATGTTCAAGCTTTAACTGTCAATTTATCAAGCCCAATCACATAGTTCCATAATGAAGCACGGGTATCCAATCGACAAGGAAAACATATATGATAAAATTCACTGCCACAAAATACTTTTTTTATAATATTTGCAGACTGTCCAATCAATTAAGACATTAGATTATGATTAACAAAATAGAGATAAAACCAAAACCACAGTAAGCAAAGTAGAAAACATTTTAAACACATGCATACTCTTGTTGGCTGACCACAATCAGATTGGACTATGATGGAATAATAAGAGTTTTTACTGCCTTATAAAATGCAAGGAGAGAGTGTTAGAGAAAATGCATCTTTGGAGGAAATGTGTTCGAAAGCTTTGGTCTACTACAGAAAAAGCGGTCGCTTAATCCATGCCCTTCCTACTGCTTGCCACTTCTTCTTCCTCTTATGCCATATCCGTCATCAGACGTTGGCAGTCATGTTGGCGATCCTATTTTTATCAACAGCCTCACAAAAAAGTCCTGCTGAGTTTTATCTAAATCAGTTCCTTAGATTTTGAAGCCATGATATTCTTCTTCTGCCTGGACCTTGTTTGTCTTCAATCTTTCCTTGGAGGATTAAGTGAAGCATGCCGTATTTTCTGGGTGTTGCATTACATGTCCAAAATATTCTAACTTTTGCTTTTTCATCGTTTTGATTATTTCCCTTGGCTTTCCCAGGTGGTTTATCTACTTACTTGCTACTATAGTCATGAATTTGCACAGGCAATTAAAAAAAACAAACAGAAAATATAAATATTAACGAATGGTGGTCAGGATGGCTTATCTTGTCATCAATATCAACAGTATCAGTTTAAGAGTCATAAGAGCAGATGCTGCCATCCTTGTCTACTTGTGACCTTTTCATAAGTATCTAACTGGCATCCAGTGGTGGGTTTCAAAAAATTTTCGAACCTACTCTGTGGGTGTGGCCTCCTTTGTGGGAGTGGCTTGCTGGCCATGTGACCTGGTGGGAGTGGCTTGCCGGCCATGTGTGTTCTCTCTCTCTCTCTCTCTCTCTCTCTCTCTCTTTCCTTCCTTTTATCTCTCTTTTTCCTTTTTTTCTTTCATCTCTCTCACTTTTTCTTTCTTTTTTCTTTCTTTCTTTCTTCCTTTCTATCTCTTTCTCTTTCTCTCTCTGTGTGAGTGTGTGTGTGTGTGTGTGTGTGTGTGTGTGTGAGTGGTGGGTTTCAAAAAATTTTGGAACCTCTTCTGTAGGTGTGGCCTGCTTTCCGGGTCCACTGGTAGAACCTCTTCTAACCGGTTTGGTAGATTTGACGAACCGGTTCTACCGAACTGGTGCGAACTGGTAGGAACCCACCTCTGCTGGCATCTGTATATACACAGTGTCCCAACCCTCAGAGATATTGCTCATGTTTTGTTCAACTGTCAACTACATGCTCCCATTATGTTTAAATACTTTTAATCCCTTTAATATTGAAAGAATAGCCCACTGGGATCTGAACTGCAGATAGTGCTATTCCCTCCTGCGCACTAATGTATATATGGTGAGCAGAACTAAGTTCATAGTTAAGACAGTTAAACTAAGAACCCATCACATCAAACAGATGCATCCTGTAAAGGTGATGTGTTTATCCAGATGTTGATTCTTTGTATTTATCACATGTGTATTTCATTATATTTTATTTTATCCATTTTACCCCAGAATTACATCTGTATTTTTTTATATAGTCTTTTTTTATATAGCCATAAGTAAGACTAATCAATTATCTGTCTGTCTATCTGTGTCTTTGTCTTTATGGCAGAAAATGAGGCAAATGTCATTGTGAAAGATGCATGAACATAGCTGAAAGTTAGGAAAGTTTGTGTTGGAATAAATTTCAATGTCTTTTATTTAACACTTAACACATGTGAATAAGAACACAGTCTTTTAAAAATGTCACTGTTACATTATGTATCCAGATACTTGTATTCTTAATAACATTTTAAATTAATCTTTCAAGCTTTTGCATCACATAGACATGATAGCTGGTTTTCCTAATCATGATTTGTATTATATTTCATATAATTATAGCCTGAGCGTTTAGCAAATGAACATATACTCCTCCACATTACCCATTTAGTAGAGAGTAAAGCAGTATAGAGATTACTTATTGATTGGACCAACGTCATTCCAAGACACTATTTAATTAACCATAGTTTATTTAACAAGCTATAATTGACTAGGTTCATACATCATGCTAAGTCATAAATGATAATGCACAAAGGCTATCTTGCATAAGATGCTAAATTATACACCAAATACCTGCATGCAATGTATAAAACTGGTCATTATATGCAATATAATACGTATTGATTCTACCATGCTGAGTAGATGGAAATTGTCCCTTGGCTTGCAAGCACAGTTATGCCAAGTGAAAGAGTCTTGAACGAATCTAAACAAAGTCCCGAGAACTTGTGCTGCCTTTCCCCAATTTCCCATATTTCTTTGCTTATCTCTCTCTTTTCAGCTATTTCCTCAAGAAGAGGAGGATATAACCCAGAAATTGCACAAATCTTTTCCATCTTGGAGGTATAAAACAATCAGAAGGAAATTTCTAAAGACAATGGTCTTAAAAGGACTTTTAATACAATCAATTGCATTAGATTAAGGAAAATGTAAAGTCATCTTTGAGTCACATTTAACTCCGGGCGATTCCAGGAAAATGTCTATATAATGTTCTCATCAGCAATCTAGAAGTGATTTGTTCTTGTCTTCCCCAATATATTTTTCCACCTCCCAGCAAAACAATCAGGGGATTTTCCGGTGGGCTCCCATCCAAATATGGACTAGGATCAAAGTCAGCTAAATGTTGCCACTTGATGGTCAGTATTATTAAACTCTGTCAAAGCCAGATAACACCTGGGTTCACTCATTACACTAAGTCAGTGGTTCTCAATCCTTGCAACTTTAACCTCTATGGACTTCAGTTCCCAGACTATACTGACTGGGGAATTCTGGGAGTTAAAGTTTATATAGCTTGAAGTTGCCATGGTTGAGAAACACTTTTAAGTCAGGAATTTGAATCTCAGTTTATAAAATGAGCTACAGTGTTAGCTGGTTGAGAATGTCTCCTTCCTTCCTTCCTTCCCTCCCTCCCTCCTTCCTTCCTAAATTTGAAAGGCGAATGGAGGTCATATAGCATCTGCTTTAGGTAGCAAAATGACTCAGGATCAAGGTAAACCAACTTTGTAGTTTCAGCTCCTTATATCTGCCCTAGGGTCCCATTGACAAAAAGCCAGCAATGCTGCAAAACTACTATGAGCGAATCCGGAGGTTCATTCAGCTGTTTGACACTGGTTAAGGTGGGGGGGGGGGACAGATACTATTCCGCTATCTATGCAATGGGTGCACAAATAAATATGTAGCTTTAGTCCTGGCACAACTTAGAGAAAATATTGAAATCGTGCTTGCTGGTCTGAGGTCCCTTCCTTTGGAGCGGGCTACAACTCTCCCAATTCCCAGTTAGGACAGTTTGTGAACGTGTTATGTAGCCGCGAGAGGGGAAAGGATGCTGCAGTTTTGCATCAGTTTGTTTGTTCTTTTATACTCCCGATGGGGCTTTGTTCCCACTACGCCACTTTTCCCTCTCGCTGAGGTCACTACTTACCGCTTACGCAGTTATTGTCCGTCTTTTACCCCGCTTTTCTTTCTTTTTTAATCTTTCAGCTTTTAAAGTTCCTCTCCGCAACAGGCGTCGTTCAGTTGCTATGGTCAACAGCCACCCGAGATTGGCGTCTCCGAGAACGAATGAGCGTTCTTTACGCTTAACCCTCCCCTCTGATAGAAAGGAGCCAAAAAGCATAGCGCGAACTACAGGTTCCAGCATGCTCTGCCTTTATAGCATGCTCAGGAACTGTCGGTGTGTAAGAGCGAACTGCGCTTATTCGGCTTTGTTGGGTCCTGAATCGATTTAAGATTCGGATCACTGGTTATAGGTGCGAATGAATGGACCGATGTTGCTTTCCGGTGATCATTTTCTTCTGTTCTGTTGCCAGTCCTCGATATAAGGTTGTTGTTTTTTAAGTGGTATTTCCCGAGTTTGTAATTCTTTTGGAACAGAATTTGTCTTTGGGTACATGGCTGTTTTCCCTCCCTTTAAACTGATCTAATCACTTTAATAACTTAATTACACTTTGGCTTTACTTTGGCTTCATTTGTGAAGGTATAGTCAAAGATAGTACAGTAGATCTTTCTCAGTACTGAAGGAGATTAATTAGAGACTCACAAACTGCTAAGTATACAGTATAGCTACTAGAGACCACTGATAAATAATCCATTTTTTCCTAAAGATTGGCAAATTCTTTTTAAAGTTTCTTAACACTGCAGTATGTCATCTCTGTGTAACATCAGTAAATTTTAGGATACTGTTCTTATAGCATTTAGTAGCCATACTTAAAATTCATTTTCCTTATTAACAAGGTGACTTATGATACTTATGAAGCTGTTTTCTAAATCCCTTCATGTTTGAGTGCCTGTTGTAAAAAATGGCTTTTCTGTTCAATTAGCACTTGAAACAATCTATATTTAAAAGTCACCCAAGACCAAATTATACAATGTCAGAAATGGATGCTGGGAATTTGGAAAATTGAAGTGCAAAGATATCTCAAGAGCTCTTTTGGAGATCACTGGTTTTATTTTATTTACTTATTGATCAAATTTATATAGCCAAGAAGTGACTGGGCTGCCTATCATTAATTACTTATCATCCCTGAGAACTTTCAACAAGGAGTTTTCCACTAATCCCAATTCAGCCAGTATCTCAATTGGTATCTGCAACTGGGCTCCAAATTACATTCAGATTCATATGTGAGAAAACAGTTTTTCAGAAATCCAAGTCTTAAAATATTTATAATTGTATTGGTAAGAACTAGAACTCTAAATTGGATTTAGAAAAAGATGGAAAAAAAACAGTGTGACTTTAAAATCCACATTGTGCAATAGAGTACATAATATATGGCTTGCAATTCACAGGTCTTGTAATAATTATAGTTTTCAAGCATAAGATTATGTTGAGTAATCTGCTATATAAATAGAAAAATGCTATCATTTGAACACGCAGAAGCTGTAGCAAATCTAACAGCATTCCCAGTCTGTACAATTGATCGCACAATAGAGTGGAAGGAAATGGGCAGCACATGAATCAATCAATCAATCAATCCCAATCTAAACAGATTGTATGCTCATTTCTGGATTAGGTTGCTGATGACTTATTGGACCATTGTTCGATTTGAAGTAAGCCTTTGTGCAATTTTTAACTCTGCCAGGATTCCAGATTGAACGTTTTTATAGGCTCTTTGGCACAGATATGGGTTTGGTTTAATGTGATAATCCCAAGAAAATAATAGTAACTTTAATATAATGTATCTTTCATTATCATCCAATAACCATTGTGAAATCTGGTTCCAAAGATCTGAAATAAAATAAAATTTCTTGGAATTATATGGAACTTTGAGTGCACTGAGTCAAGTGTTCAATTTCTAAAGTGCAATATGAGCAGGTTAAATAGTCCCCAAAGCCATCTATTTTACGTGAAGAATTCCATTTTCATAACTTGTATTTTCATTTGAGCATGGGAATTATAATCCAGGACAGGACAGGAAGAAGTCAAGTCTGTTGGTTGGCCTTATTCACATTGCATTTCTCTGATTTGCCTCTGGGATATTTCTGGATCCATAAAAGAGCTCAAAAGCTCAATGGTTCACTGGGTATTTTAGGAAGATGAAACTCCTCAATATTTTTGAACAGGATTCTACAATAGGGAATTCTCTTCAGGTATGATGTGTCTTGGAGTTACAAGTCCAGTGCACATGGAGGCTACCAGATTGGGTACAGCTTCTCTGAAAAAACCTAGGCTTTATATGACCTTAACTATCTTGATAGGGTATAAGCAATATTTTAGTATGATTTTATTAAAACTGGCATGGTGCCTATGCTTCGTTTTTATCGATTTATATCATGTCCATCAGTTGCTTGAAAGCGTGCTCCTTTATTGTAGATTGTGTGGGTCTACCAACACCGTGTTATAGAGCAGAAAACCCATAAACACCTGGGGGGCAAATTTCAGATGGGCACTACTAAGGCTAACCAACTAGGTTTAGTAGCATGTTTAAAAACAAGTCACTTTAATCCGGTACTCCGCACTCAACATGTAATCCTCAATGGAACTGCATCTACATGGAGGAAAGTATGCAGTGGGGTACCCCAAGGCTCTGTTTTAGGCCCAGTACTCTTCCACATTTTCATTAATCATTTGGCGAGGGGGTAGACAGGGAACTCATCAAATTTGCAGATGACACCAAGCTAACAGGAATAGCCAACACTCCAGAAGACAGGCTTAAGATACAGA